CGCCGACCCATCAGGGACCTGGGAGAGAGGCTGGGGACGGTTAATGGGACGCGGGAACCCCCCCCTCTTTTTTTTTTTTTTTCTCTCCACCCCGTCCCCGCTCTGGCACCCGGGGGAACCCAGCTCACTCCCCCCAATCAAAATAAAGGACCCAGTACATCCGGCATGGACCCCATCCTCACAAGACTAACACCGCACAACCCAGATTTTCATTCGATAGGGATCAAGGGAGCCACACACACAACGTAACCAACCCAGCCCGCATAGACGGTGATGAGCTAGGGTGAGATTGAGTAGGGAGCGATGCACTCGATGCACATGACTGGACGGATGCCCAAAAGGGAACTCGCTCTGCACGCACTGGCCCCGGGGGGTCCCTGGGGGGCAGGGAGCCCACATGACACCACCAGGTCCTGACACCTGACAGCCCCCAGAGGGATCCGGAGGGCCTGGACGTGGCCCCGACCCGTCCATCCAGGGGAGTGGCCCGCCCATGGACCCCCTATACTTGGTCACGACCCAGGCGGTGCAGATGAACTAGGGGCGCCCCTTTCTCTCTAGGATGGCGCAGGGACGCTATAACACCCAGACCCGCATACCTATCACCCCCCTCAGGGGAGGGAGCGCGGCCCGCGCCTCGAGCCAAGGTACCCCAACCCAACAGCGCAATGAGGCGCACCCTCACCTAACCACCGCTTTACCCACAACCCTACCGCTTGGGGCCCGAGACTGGGGGACGGGAGCGCGGGATGGAGAGAGGGGAATGAGAGTAACGACACCCCTGATGGCCCTTGGGGGACTGTCCCTGCCACCCGGTGGGACGCCAGACACCAGCGGAGCCCTGATAGCAGGCGCGTGCCTCAGGAAGTGGGGAGATATGGGAAGGGATTTGGCAAAAGGGATCATTAACGGAACACTGTTATGGAAACAAATGTTTGTACTGTTATTTCTTGTCAAACCACAAAACTAAATAAAGAATGTCAAAAAAAAAAAAATGCTTAGATACTGTATGGTTCTCAAACCCATTCCTAATGTTGCGACAATGTTCAGATATCCTAGTTTTTAGATTTCTGGACGTCATGCCTACATACTGGAGACCACAAGGGCACTCCAGTAGATATATGACATTTTTAGTGCAACATGTGATAAAATGTTTTATATTATAACTTTTATTTGTAATGTTTTATTTGAATTTGGTGGTCTTATTTGGAACTGATATTTGAGTAGTTTTGCAGACAATACATTTTCTGCATTTAAAAAAACCTTTAACATTGGGTAAAGTGGATGGATGGTTTGCTTGACTTGGTTTTAGTGAAATTTTTCGTTAGAAGAGTTTAAAATTAGGAGCACCTCGAAAAATAATATTGGGTTTTTCAGGAATGATCTTATTGAGAACAGGGTCTTCTGATAAAATGTGTCAGTGTTTTTGAATAGTTTTCCTTATGTCTCTATTTTTGTTATTGTAGTCAAAAATTATGGGGATGGATGGGGTAGTGTTTTGAGTTCCTGTATTTTTATTTTTATATTTCAGAAGGTTGCTTCTGTCATTAGACTTGATTTTGGTGATTATAGTGTTGAGTTTGTCCTTTGGGTAGTGTTTTTCTAAAAATAATTTTTTTTAAATGTTGCTTTGTTCATTAAAATCATTATTGAGTGTGCAATTTCTTTTGAGTCTCAAGAATTGGCTTTTAGGAGCACTTTCGAGCCAGGGTGTGTGATGGCAACTTTTTTGATCGATGCCTGTGTTCGTGCACACCTTTTTTTAAAAAGTCTTTGTGTTTAAAGTTCCCTCTTTGATAAAATTTTTTAGATCTAAAAAGCTAATTTCTTCTTTACTGGATTCTGTGGTTAAAACAATACCTCTGTCGTTTTGATTTAGGTGTTCTAAGAACAAATTTAAGGAGCTATCAGTGCTTTTCCAAATAAAAAATAAGTCATCAATGTAACGGAAGTAGGAAACCAGGTTTGCCCTCCAGTCATGATTGCCCCAAACTGCCTCTGCTTCCCATGAATAGGTTAGCATAGCTGGGGGCAAACCTGGGGGCAAACCTGGTTCCCATAGCCGTACCTCTTTTTTGAACATAAAAGGAATCTAAAACCCAGAAAACAATATTATTTAAAATGATCTTAATACCCTCTATGATGAAATGAATTTGGGATTCTGGTATTCTTTTTTCTGCTGTGAGTATTTTTGTGACTGCTTTGCAACCTTTTTCGTGAGGGATGATAGTATAGAGTGATGTTATGTCATAGGTCACCAGGATGTAGTCCTTTTGCCATACAAAATCATTAAAAAAGAGGGGAAGGGATTTTATAGGATTTTATTTTTTTACAGAGGGTTGGAGTAAAATATCGATGTATTCAGACAAAGTAGATAAAATTGAGTTTATTCCTGAAACAATAGGGCTGCCTGGGGTCTCGTTTTTGTGACTTTTAGGAAGGAAATAAATAACTGGAATTTTAGGGTGCGGTTTGTATAAGTAATTAAATTCTTGCTTATTGAGAATGTTGGAGTTACTGCCTTTCAGTAGGTAGTTATATAGGGTGGCTTGAATCTGAGCGCTGGGGTCTGTGGATAATTTCTTGTATACATCTTTATCACTTAGTTGCTTTAGAGCCTCATCTATGTACATTTCTTTTGAGAGGATTACAAGGCCACATCCCTTATCCGCTGGCTTTATGACAATACTTTTGTCTAATTGTAATTCTTTGAGGGCTTTTAGTTCAAGATGGTTTAAATTAGGTTTGTCTGACTTCTTCTTCTTGATATTACCAAAGTCTTTTAAAACAAGTTTTTCAAATACTTCTAGAGGTCCGGACTTAAAATTGGATGGATAAAATTTTGATTGTGGCTTAAGATTGGTATTAATTGTAATCGGGGTAGTGATTGGGGTAGAATTGTGGGTGTGTTTGAGGGGAGCGCAGTTTCTTTTCCCATAAAGAATCTCTTTAGAGTTGCTTTTCTTGCAAATTTATTTACGTCCAGGAAAGCTTGGAATGGTTTAAAGGACGTAGTGGGGGCAAACTTTAGCTGACAGCTGCTGGAGGTTGAGAGAATTCAGCTGAGGGGGAGGTTAGACTGAGAATGTTGGGTGAGGGAGTTCTCAAGAACAAAATGATAAAAGGCGAAAAAAAATAATGTTGAGGGTATTGCCAGCGGATTGCGTGGGAGAATTAGCCCACTGGGATAGCCCAAAGAAGGAAACAACTGAAAGACGTTTTGAGGCTACTGAGGTCATGGGTGGGGTAACTGGAATGTTAACATCCCCAAGAATTAGAGAAAAGATATTACTTGAAAGGAACTAGGTAGGCCTTCCAGAAACACTACCTCTGCATAAGGCATTGGCTACAAGACTTGGTAGTGTAAACTTATGAATGCTGCTGTTTGGGGCACAGGGTGTAAAAGAGAGTCTGGAGTTATATAAAACAGTGATTACGGGTGGAGAGGTAAGCAGATATTGAGGTGGGAGAAATCAACAGAGGGGAAAAAAGCAGAGGAGAAAACATTTGAGATTTCAAGATATGAGGAAATGGGAGAGATCAGATGGGTGAAAGTCATAAATGGTGATCATAAATTAACAGACAATAACTCCAACACAAAAATCAATAATTAGTTATTTATATATAGACAGCCAGTTGTCCGCGTTATCAATATTAGTTTCATATGTTTTTGCATGAATTGCAAAATTAAAAGTGCCCCACTATAAGTAGTCAGTATCCCCACTATAAGTAGTCAGATCATTTTAGAACAGTTTGATTTGCTGCCAGGGGTCCACTCCCTGCCTCCACCACCTCAGCCAAAGAGACTGAAGCTCCTGGTTAGTAGCTTCCATAAGCTCTCCTGAGCAAAGCCTGGCAGTGTAGGGCTAGTTCACTGGCTAAAGCATTAGCTGATCGCCTTCAGCCAATAAGGTAGGCCTTGCATTGCAGAGCTTAGCTACGACAGAGAGTATCTAGCTCTCTGAGGTAGTTAAGACGGGCAGCAAAGCCTGGTAGACCACAGGTAGGAAGTCAAAGCATTCTAAAAAGATTTGAGTACTTTCAATAGAGAATGCAAAGACACTCATGTGACCATAACTACTGCAGTGTGTTGAAGTGGTTAAGGTGTTTGGTGAGTTTTATATATATATATTTGTGGTCGGGCCATTTCAGTATAGTATGAAATAGCTAGAGAGTATACTTATCAAAATAATAAAAAAGTCGGTAGAGGTGTGCCGAAACCGACGTGTGTGGTAGGCCTGTAAATAAGTGGGCCTACCTTAAATAGTATAGAAGTGAGTATTGAATAGAGGGAGAGGAGGGTGGGCCAGAAGTACATCTGGACCAGTAGGTAAGTTTAGGTTGGAAGGGGGAGTCCCTTTTAAAGGTACATAGCCCCTCCCACAACTTCAGCCTTCCAATTTGTGGTCGGGGCCATTTCAGTATAGTATGAAATAGCTAGAGAGTATACTTATCACAATAATCAAAAAGTTGGTAGAGGTGTGCTGAAACCGACGTGTGTGGTAGGCCTGTAAATAAGTGGGCAAAAAGGAATACCCATATAGTGTAATCAAAGATGTTTATTACGAAACCACAAGACATGCAGTTAGCGTATTACGGTGACATTACACAAATGCATTCGTTAATTCCTGTGTCGGCTGAGGTAAGCGTTGTTGGTGGGGTAGTACTGAATAAGTACCTCGTGACCCCTCTGGCTAGACGTAGTTGATGGTAAGTTAATAAGAAGTGATCCTGTATTTGTACAGGTTAGAATACTGTAGGCAAAGCTTGGAATCGTGTTGCCCTATGATGGTAAATTCTCTGATCGTGGGAAACCATAAAAGATTTTTTGAGAATGGTGTTTGTAACTGAAAACATGTGGCGTTGAATGTCCGGGAGATATACCTTAATGGTGTTCTGTGACATTGTTTTGATGTGGCAAAAAGTGTCGAAAGCCCCCAACGTTGTATACTTGAACCAGTTTGTAAGGTGGTGATCTGACATGACCTTCGATATGTGCAGTAAACTCTGTCATAGCAGTGTGCGTATTCTTTGAGGGTCAACTGTATGAATTCTTGCTGTGACTTAGCCACTCTTCTATTCCATAGGTAATTCTTAGAGTTGGGGAGTGATCGTGGCTATAGGTGAGGCAGTTGTTAGGGACCTCCTGAACGCATGAAACTGAAGACTAGATAACTGGTCAGCAGCTGTATTGTGAATGCCTGGTACGTAGTAACACACCAGATAAAATTGGTGACAGGCTTCCCCTACGTTAGTCGTCTGATGAAATAAGGGATACAAGACTGGACTTGTTTATGACGTGGCCAATGACAAATTGTCAGAGATCTCGAACCGGTCTGCATGCCCATTAATGACTCAATGTTGCTGCTGCGGCTACGATGGGATATACCTTGAAGCGTGCATAGTTCCTAAGGAACCCTATATATATATATAGATAGATAATATTTCTTTATTTTAACTCACACCGTAGCAACACATTGACTTCTGTCCCCGTATGGGCCTCTATACGCTATACTTTAACAAATCTCTTTTAACGCATTAAGGAGGCTTTAATGGTTAGTTCAAAATATTTTCTTCAAGGTGGTTCAAATTTGTATATTTTTCCCATACTTGGCTGTTGGTGAAAATAGTTACTTTTCGGTCTGCTTCACAAATCAACTCACCCAACGTAAAAACAATATTTACCAACCAATTATAATTGGAAAGTTAATTAAAAGGGCAGTGTTTAGTGATTAGACCCGTTAGCCCATGGAGAGCTGTAAAACAACGCGGTTTGTTGGGATTATACGATAAAGGAAAATCTGTGTCACCATTTCTGTTTGTCTATTTTCTCAGTCATTAACAAGCTGCTAAAGTTTTAAAACAACACTTATCTGTCAGGCTTACTCCGATAGGCCCATCAACTCCCTTTGCTTTATAATTATTTGAGGTTTCTTGACGCCTTCCCTTTCCCTTTTAGAAGCAGGTTTGATTTGTTTCTTACAAGATTATTATTTTTCTTACTAAAAAATCTGAGACCTTTGCAATGTTATCTGCTAAACGCACTGTTCTTTATTCCTCAATAAAGAGTTTCAAACATAAATAACCTTTGCTTCATTTTTAGAAAGCTATTTTTAAGATGTACTTAGAATAGTTGAAAAATAACTTTAAAACAGACTGTGCTTTTACAACAATTCTATGCTTTTCCCTCCCTGTCTGGATCATGTCTGCTTCATACTATGGCACGGATTTCTGTCAGAGAAATTGCTTGCTAATCCTGGGGGGGAGTTACAGTTATTAATTTGTTAATAGCATTGTACAGGGAGGGACCCGGTGTAAATTGTACGACTCTCAGTACTTGTTAAAATAAATAGTCACGGTCCATATTATCAAAGCCTTCTCCCACGTATGGACTTGTGCAATCATACACATCAACATCAAAGGGGCTAGTATATGAAAAAATTGCATCATTTTTAAGATATTTGTCCAGTCAACGCGTTTCACATACAGATATGTAAAATGTATCAAAATGGAGGGAGATTCACTAAAACATTAATTCACAAAATCAGAAATTGTTGGGACTTTCCCAGAGAACAGCAAATGTTAGTCCAATATAGTCAAAGTACAAACACATCTAATAAAATATTTTTTTGAACTTTTCTGTTTCCTTAAACTGATAGTAATTCCCTTGTTTACTACCAACAATTCACAGCTTAGTAAATAAACCTGTAAATTAATCTACCCCATCTGGAGTCAAATAATTCTTCTATCAGAAATGTCATGGTGGATCACTTTATTTTTCTATTGAAAGCATTAAATCCTGTTAATGGTTTGCTTGATTTTGATTATATACTGTATTACTGAATTACTGTCTGGCTCTGTAATACTCATACACAGTGAACATTATCGTGAGTTTTACAATTCTTTGATACACTGTGAGCTCTACTGCTTTGGAGTTCTGTGATACGTTTTTACGCCCTGTGCATTAATTTGAGTTTTATTGCTGTGGAGCTCTGTGATGCAATTTTACAAATTATATATTAGTGTGAGTTTCATTGCTGTGGAATTCTGTGATAGATTTATACAAATCACAAATGACAGGGCAGTGAGCACAACAAATTTCACCAAGTAGTACAGTAAATTGCTGGGCACATTTCTCTCTTTTAGTTATACGAAGGGGTTTCTTTAATGTCGGGCTCGCTGCCTGCTGAGCTCTGATTGTGCGTCTTATCATGCAGCCAGGTCCGTCCTCCACTTCCCCCGGATCTGTGGGATCTGCACTTACAGGGCTGAACTTTATCAGCAGGAAACAAACCCCTGACACAGAGAAACAGGGCATCGCAAAGTTTCCTACAGGGGCAAGCTGACCCCTTAGTACAGCTCAATATATTCACCACAAAGAAACCCACAGATTACCAATACACACACACCTTGGGTCAGACACATATTTTATCAGACTTTGTATAAAATATCTTCAATGACTAGATCTCAGCTCACAGGCAGGACGGGTCTGTGCATATTATACTGTTTGTTTTTTAACCTATCATACAGCGCTGTGGAATATATTGGTGCTTTGTAAATGCCGGTAATAATAATAATCAGTACACACATAAACACACCTAAATTGTACACACAAACAAGTATGTGGCTAGTACACAGGAATAAACACTCAGTAGTACTCAACAACACACATCTTATTAGTACACACAGACACAGAACTCCTCAGTACACACAATCTAACATATCATATGTACACAGAGACACAGAATTCATCAGTACACACAATCTAACACATCATATGTACACAGAGACACAGAATTCATCAGTACACACAATCTAACACATCATATGTACACACAGACACATAACTCCTCAGTACACACAATCTAACACATCATATGTACACAGAGACACAGAATTCATCACTACACACAATCTAACACATCATATGTACACAGAGACATATAATTCATCAGTACACACAATCTAACACATCATATGTACACAGAGACACATAATTCATCAGTGCACACAACCTAACACATCATATGTACAGAGAGACACATAATTCATCAGTACACACAATCTAACATATCATATGTACACACAGACACAGAACTCCTCAGTACACACAATCTAACATATCATATGTACACAGAGACACAGAATTCATCAGTACACACAATCTAACACATCATATGTACACAGAGACACAGAATTCATCAGTACACACAATCTAACACATCATATGTACACACAGACACATAACTCCTCAGTACACACAATCTAACACATCATATGTACAGAGAGACACAGAATTCATCAGTGCACACAATCTAACACATCATATGTACACACAGACACAGAACTCCTCAGTACACACAATCTAACACATCATATGTACACAGAGACACATAATTCATCAGTGCACACAATCTAACACATCATATGTACAGAGAGACACAGAATTCATCAGTACACACAATCTAACACATCATATGTACACACAGACACATAACTCCTCAGTACACACAATCTAACACATCATATGTACAGAGAGACACAGAATTCATCAGTGCACACAATCTAACACATCATATGTACACACAGACACAGAACTCCTCAGTACACACAATCTAACACATCATATGTACACAGAGACACATAATTCATCAGTGCACACAATCTAACACATCATATGTACAGAGAGACACAGAATTCATCAGTACACACAATCTAACATATCATATGTACACACAGACACAGAACTCCTCAGTACACACAATCTAACACATCATATGTACACAGAGACACATAATTTATCAGTGCACACAATCTAACACATCATATGTACAGAGAGACACAGAATTCATCAGTGCACACAATCTAACACATCATATGTACAGACAGACACAGAACTCCTCAGTACACACAATCTAACACATCATATGTACACAGAGACACATAATTCATCAGTGCACACAATCTAACACATCATATGTACAGAGAGACACAGAATTCATCAGTACACACAATCTAACATATCATATGTACACACAGACACAGAACTCCTCAGTGCACACAATCTAACACATCATATGTACAGAGAGACACAGAATTCATCAGTGCACACAATCTAACACATCATATGTACACACAGACACAGAACTCCTCAGTACACACAATCTAACACATCATATGTACACAGAGACACATAATTCATCAGTGCACACAATTTATCACATCATATGTACAGAGAGACACAGAATTCATCAGTACACACAATCTAACACATCATATGTACACAAAGATCATCAGTATACGCATGCTTACTTGTACGTGCAAACACATTTGTGTCCAGTATACAGTGACAAACACCTCAGTAGTACACATGATTTTCACTTCAAGCAAACATCACACATTAATATGCACACCCTACCAGTACATAAACACACCGTCACTCTCATGCTTTTATGTTGAAATGACACAGAGAAAATGACGAGTGTCAAATGTGAGAATTAAAAAGTTGCCCATAGCTAAAAGGGAGGGAGAAAATGTTGATCGTGAAACAATATTAATATTGCAAAAATGTATGTTATGTAGTGTCAGCAGTGGTGTATTTTGGATTTGTGCTGCCCTAGGCGTGGCGGATCTCGGGCAACCCCTAATTTAAATTTGCCCCACCCCTTCCTGTCAAGGCCACACCTCTTCCTGTTAATGACTAACACATACTTTGACTGACATACAGACACTGACACACCCACTCACTGACTGGCACACACTCTCAGATACACTGACAAACACTCACTGACAGACACACTGACATGCCCACACACACTCACTGATTTGACACAATCTGACAGACACACACACACTCACTGATAAATACACATTTACTGACGGACACACACAAACTCACTAACAGAAACACACATTCACAGATGGACAAACTCACTGACAGAAACACACACGTTCACTGACAGTCACACAATTACACAGACACACATTCACTGACACACACAATGACAGACAGACACTAACACTCACTGACACACACACACACATACATATTCCCCCAACATTTACAAATATATATTTTTTTTATTATATTAAATCCACCCAGCCTCCCTAAGTTTGGGAGAGCTGGGTGGATTTTTACATGGTATCCAATGGGGCCGTTGAGCTGGTCGCTGGGCAGGCAGGAAAGCAGTAAGGCAGGAGGGAGG